AAAACGATACGTGAAGTCTAAAGGTTCACCAACACAAACCTATACAGAACAAGATCCCACAAATAACTAGTGCCAACAGGCTGCCTAAGTATGGTTCCCAATCAGAGACAACGAGAATCAGCTGCCTCTGATTGGGAACCACCCTGGCCAACATAGAAAACACGAACTAGAACACAACATAGAAAATCACACATAGAAAATCCACACCCTGGCTCAACATATAAGAGTCCCCAGAGCCAGGGCGTGACACTGTCTTATATTTGACGAGGTTTAAGCACTTAACACCATGTTATGATCTTAGTCAGATATGACTGCATTGTGCAGCAGAGCACGAGCAAATGGCTCAGCTTTAATGATACCAGAGCCCTACCCCTACCCTAATTATTGATGAAAAAACAGGCCCTACCCAGCCCTAGCCCTATGTATAACGTCAGGCCTGTCGGGCTCAGGTCGGGTAACAGAGCTCTGCTGCATACTGTTCTTGACGAGACATTGTAAATTATGTCTGAGTGTTGGAGTGTGGCCCTGGCTATCCGTAAATTTACAAAACAAGAATATTGTGCCGTCTGGCTTGCTTAATAAGGAATTTGAAATGATGTCATTTGGACCAGACAGCATCAGATAGATGGCCTACACATAGAGAGACAGGGGGGGCTCTGTTTCGCTCGCTCGGATGCTTTCTCCTGTGAGATACTTTCAGCCTCTTGCGAATTGAAGGACAATTATGAAACACAGAGAGACGAAAGATACATATCGTTTTTTTATTGGTCAATTTTTGGGGGAAGCCTGGCTTCCCTTGGCATCCATGAATACATTCCACTGACTACAGGTGGAGATGGGGGATATGCCATTGCAGATTAGGAGACAGCAGCTAGCAATTATTGGGTCAACCTACAGGGACATGGGGTGTGTCATCCCGTGAAAGGGATTTTACAGGCATGCTGGGAACATGAGCGAGGATAGAACACAAGCTTTGGGTGGGTGGGTAATACCCATGTGAGGGAGATGGGACTGTATGGAAGGGAGTTTAGTCCAATGGTAGCTATTCTTGTGAACCCACCATGGCTACTCCCACCTCCAGTTGTTGATCTAGAAGTGTTGAAGAGACTACATAAAGATAGGGAGGGTGTTGATCCATCTGATTTGTTTAAGAGACGTCTGGATACTGTGTATCAGGATTTTGTGGCCATTTACACAGATGGTTAAAAAGTTCCAAGGACAGAACGTACTGGGTCAGTATTTGTAGTGCAGGAATGTGGGGTGGCAGTCAGGAAACGTATTACAGATAATCTGGCAGTATATATGGCGGGGCTGATGGCCATACTGGCCTTGCAGTGGGTGGAGGAAGTCAAGCCAGACAGTAGTTATTTGCTCTGATTTACAGTGGGGGGAAAAAGTATTTAGTCAGCCACCAATTGTGCAAGTTCTCCCACTTAAAAAGATGAGAGAGGCCTGTAATTTTCATCATAGGTACACGTCAACTATGACAGACAAATTGAGAATTTTTTTCTCCAGAAAATCACATTGTAGGATTTTTCATGAATTTATTTGCAAATTATGGTGGAAAATAAGTATTTGGTCACCTACAAACAAGCAAGATTTCTAGCTCTCACAGACCTGTAACTTCTTCTTTAAGAGGCTCCTCTGTCCTCCACTCGTTACCTGTATTAATGGCACCTGTTTGAACTTGTTATCAGTATAAAAGACACCTGTCCACAACCTCAAACAGTCCACACTCCAAACTCCACGATGGCCAAGACCAAAGAGCTGGCACAGGTACACCAGAAACAAAATGTAGACCTGAAGATATCTGCATTTGACTAGAAATCGACTGTGGGAGATTATTAGGAATGGATACAAGACCATGATAATCTCCGATTGGGCTCCCCAGAGTCTCACGGGGGTCAAATTGAACGGTGAGCAAAAATCCAGTCACCTGGGGGACTAGGATGACTGAGAGAGCTGACCAAAGTATACGCAAACACACTTCGCCAGGGATCAATCCTGGTAAAGAGGTCACCTGCGCAGTACTGTCCAGGCCCGTCTGTTTGCTGAGGTGCAGTTGGACCAGAAGAGGATGTGAGAATGTTGGTCAAGAAACCAATAAAAACTCAACCTCGTGTTGGAGGAAAAGAATGCGAGTGCATCAGAACACTACTGTGAAGCATGGGGGTGGAAACATCATGCTTTGGGGCTGTTTTTCTGCAAAGGGACCAGGACGACTGATCCGTGTAAAGGAAAGAATGAATGGGCCATGTATCGTGAGATTTTGAGTGAAAACCTCCTTCTCAGCAAGTGGCGCACTATGGAGAGGAAACGTGGCGGGTCTTGCAGCATGACAATGATCCCAACACCCGCCCGGGCAACGAAGGAGTGGCTTCGTAAGAAGCATTCAAGGTCCTTGGAGTGGCCCTAGCCAGTCTCCAGATCTCAACCCCATAGAAAATCTTTGGAGGGAGTTGAAAGTCTGTGTTGCCCAGCGACAGCCCCAAAACATCACTGCTCTAGAGAAGATCTGCATGGAGGAATGGGCCAAAATACCAGCAACAGTGTGTGAAAACCTTGTGAAGACTTACAGAAAACGTTTGACCTGTGTCATTGCCAACAAAGGGTATATAACAAAGTATTGAGAAACTTTTGTCATTGACCAAATACTTATTTTCCACCATAATATGCAAAAAATTCATAAAAAATCCTACAATGTGATTTTCTGGAGAAAAAAAATCTCATTTTGTCTGTCATAGTTGACGTGTACCTATGATGAAAATTACAGGCCTCTCTCATCTTTTTAAGTGGGAGAACTTGCACAATTGGTGGCTGACTAAAAAACTTTTTTTCCCCACTGTATGTGCAGTGTTTGAGTCTGCAGTCCTTTAGCTCACTTAGCAGACAAGACCTGCTTTATGATGTACTACAAACCCATGGCAGGGTTAGACAGATGGGTATACAGACAAGATTGACTTGGGTCCCTTTATACTATTCCAGGTATTCCTTAAAGAGGTAGGGTTTCAAGTGTCTCCGGAAGGTGGTCAGTGACTCCGCTGTCCTGGCGTCGTGGGGGAGCTTGTTCCACCATTGGGGTGCCAGAGCAGCGAATAGCTTTGACTGGGCTGAGCGGGAACTGTGCTTCTGTAGAGGTAGGGGAGCTAGCAGGCGTGGGAAGTGGGAATGAGGCTGAGATCCAGTATGAGGGAGAAGTGGATACAGAAAATTAGTTAAAAGAGTATACTAAGTATACTAACGTCATCATATACAGTGTACATTTTTTGTTATATTTTTTAAGAGAAACGGGGCTGGCAGGTAGGATTTAGTTTCTCTCCTTCTCTGGCTCACACTCCAGTACAGTTGGTGGCGGTAATGCACCATAACGTTGGATGCCAACTGCCGATAACCCCACCGAAGAAGAAGAGTCCACAGAACGCTGCGCAGAACTCAGACAAGTCAGGGGACATACGGTTGTCAGTTGTCAGTGCACTTTACAGCCTGGTAAGTTTGATTCCGTTGGCTACTTTACTTGAAATATCATGTGTTCAGGAACATTTTATTTAAAAAAAAACGAAAATCATGAAGGCCTAATACAGATACAGCTGGCCACGTCACTCGAGCAAATAATGTAATAATGTATCTATTAAAAAGGGGGAACTGTAAGGTTAGCTTGAAAATAAAGTACATAATGACTTCGCGCAAAGTTAGGATCTTCAAAACCCAAATACACGTCACTCGAGCAAATAATGTAATAATGTATCTATTAAAAAGGGGGAACTGTAAGGTTAGCTTGAAAATAAAGTACATAATGACTTCGCCACGGAAGCAAAGATTGTCAGTAAGTTTCGTTTTACTGATGCATTTCGCTCTCCAGAGTGACGCACATAAACTGGATTGCCGTTCTCCCTGCAAAAACATGCAGTTTTGTGACTATCCTTTTGTTTAGCACTCTAGTTAAGTACAACTTTTTTTCAAAGCATTGCAACCACCTTGGAAAATAACTTATTTTTATATTATTATTTATACCAGCATTTCATTTCAAAGTTTACACAAATATTGTTATGTTGATACAGAGTGTTGCTGGCCTTTTACTCCACCGATTCCATTGGCCACAATGCAATACACTGTATATGAATTACATACTGGTTTATAGAGAGAAAAACACTATTATTTGTGCCGATGATCCCCAAGTTTTCACCATCATTTTAAAGCCCTAGTTATTTTGTTGCTTTTGTAACCGGTGTGAAATGACTAGGTAGTTAGTCGTGCTCGCGAGTAGCGTTTCAATCAGTGACGTCACTCCCTCAGATCTTGAAGTAGTTATTTCCCTTGCAAGGGCCGCGGCTTTTGTGGAGCGATTGGAATTAAACGAATATGTCCATGATTTTAAGGTCAACCCTGTTACGTGAACTAAACTCTAATTTTAATATGGTGAAGCTATTCCTTAAAAAATAAACATTGGCCATCTAATAGTCAAATCATAGTTAAAAGCAGGTGAGCTGGTTCTACTCGTTTTGGCCATTTTCTGGTGTTTTGTGTTGGAAAACTGAGTGGGTCGAGAATAACACGTCAACCCTGTTACCCATAGATAGACAGGATAGAAATGTTTTCACCATTTTAAAAATAATTTGTGAAGCTTTCATTCAATTGCCACTCCCTGTTGCATACAACAAGCTTCCATTTCCCCTGTCACAAGGATTTATGGCTGATAAAAAAAAAAAAGATGAAATCGTCAACACTTATGGTCAACTCTGTTACTTTTTGTCACAAAAAATGTCATCTAAATAAAAATGTTCCCACAAAGTTGCACTACTCCAAAGGCACCTAATTGGTGGAACGACCCCAATATTGTGAACATACCAATAGCTATACCAAGTGGCCTTTATTTTTTGTACACTTTTTAAAACATAAATTGGCTTATAAGCACAATATAAATGGCAACTGATTACAATTTAATATCTTTAGAATGAGTTATCAACATTGCAATGTTTTGAAATGTGGGCTTTTATTTTGAAGGTTTCTTCATTACCATACAATGGTGACGTCATCATTTGTGCTGTTGGCAGAATAGTAGTTTAAACAGAATACTCCCAGACAACACAGCAGCAGCCAGTTGTAGTTCCATCATGGCCGAGGATATGTTTTCCCTCATGAGTCTCGAAGACGAACTGAGCTGTAGCATCTGCCTCTGTGCTTTCGACTGCCCGGTGACAATTCCATGTGGACACAACTTTTGCCAAGAGTGTCTCTTAGAAACCTGGAAAGACAACTACAGCTGTCCACAATGCCGGACCCACTTCACCACCAAACCAGAGCTGAAGAAGAACACCGTCCTCAGCACTGTTGTGGAAACGTTCAAAATGAAGTCTAATAAAAGCGACCTCCCCAATGAGATGGGCGACTTATCCAAATGGGATGCGGTCAAGATGGAGCCCAAAGAGGTGGTTATCTTGTGTGACACCTGTATGGAAGCCAAAGCATTCAAGACCTGCCTCACCTGTATGGCGTCGTTCTGCGTTGAGCATGTGAGGCCTCATCAGGAGAACCCAGTGTTTGGTGCGCATCAGCTGAACGAGCCTCTGGGCGACCTGCGCGAGCGTATCTGCTCCGACCACCACAAGCTGATGGAGTTCTACTGTGTCCAACATGGCCGCTGTATCTGTGGTGTCTGTCTGCAGCAGGTGCATAAAGGCTGTACCTTCTCCACCCCTGACGAGCAACGGTCACTGCAAGAGGTACGTTTACAAGAAATGTCAATACACCCCATCTACTGTCAGGCATACAGTAGTGTTGTGCCAGCCCAGTGCCCCCAAGTAGTGAATTGCAACCTCTGCTTAGAGGTCTGGACCTTTTTATAAGGGAAGGGGATACCAAAGATTTGTATAACTAACACAAGATAGACCAGAGCCTGTCGTTTCAATGGGAGCAAATTAATCATAGTGGGAAAAACAATCAAGGAGGTGGGCAGACCCAAGCATGAGCTAGTGAGATCCTATTGGCTCGTTGTAGCATTTATTTGCATATTTCCATTAGGGAACGCCTACTCTGAAGTGTGTGTGTACAATAACTCAGTTCACATTTCCTTCTAAACAACACCGTTTTTAGAAACTTTGACAAAAGTTAGTCTACAAAACCCAGTCCACTCTGTTATAGATTCTAGTTTTTGAAACTGAATGTTGGCCAAAATCTACCACTGCCGGCCCCTGGGCATCCTCTAATCACCTTATTTGGTAGTGAGTGGAAACTCTAACCGGATGCTTCACATGTAATCGAAGTCCACGTCATCAGTGCCCAGGGAGCAGTTGTTGTTAGGGGTAAACTGCCTTGCTCAAGGGCAGAACGGCAGATTTTTCAACCTTGCCAGCTCAGGGATTCAAACCACCTTTCGGTTATTGGCACAACGCTCTTAACAGCTAGGCTACAGGCGTAAAGGTCACTGGTTCAAGCCTCAGTACTGACTGTTTACCCTATTTTGCTACAGAAGTGATCACTGTAATCCTAAAAGAAAACAAGTTAAACCATCTTAAGAGTTAGAAATGTTTATTTATTTGGTTGAAAATAATATTCATTCATATCTCATTCAGTCTGATTTGAGGGGCAAGTTGAGTCTGCTGGATGGAAAGATTGACAAGAACCAGACGGTCATCTCTCAGATGAGGGAGCAGCAGAGCAAGTTGAAGGTGAGCTATCACTTTTTAAACAAAGGACTCTAGAAAAATGTATTAAAAACAACTGCTGTATTCACTAAGAAGTAATCAATATATAAAGCAGTTTTGAAAGCTTTGAGCATCTGGAACAACTAAATATTGAACACCCACAGTAAGAGCTGTGTGAGATGCTATGAGAGATCCATTTGAGAACTCCACGTATACTTTGTGTCCATCTCCTTCAGGACTCTGCAACCAGCAGGAAGAGAGCCCTGGAGGACGAGTACCGCCAGATCCGGGAGCTGCTGGACCGTGACGAGCGTGAGGCTCTGAATACGGTGGACCGCGAGCAGGAGAGCGGTCAGACCAAACTCCAGAACCTCATAAAGAAGTTCAACCAGAACATTGAGAAGCTTAGCGCAGCAAAAGACGGCGTCAATAGCCTGCTCAGTCAGACTCAGACCCTGGCGTTCCTACAGGTGAGCGCAGTGTAGCAGAGGTGGTTTCAGTGAACTGCTCTCACTCAGGTGATGAGAAACCTTGCCTGAAAGCGGAAGACTTGCGTCAGCTCTCGGCCTTAGCTCAGTGGGCTAACACAGTCTTGAAATTACGATATTGACTATAATGTATCTTATTGTTGGTTTTTACATTTTACTTTGGGACAGGCCTCAGTTGACATGCCGTCAGTGGTGGCCTTTGACCCCTATACCCCGACGGTCAACCTGGACTCTAAGGCCGTGGCAGGCTGGCATGCCTACTCTGCAGTCCTGAGGGAGCATCTCACACATGTACTGAAACAGCCTGTAGAGGCCAGACTGCAGATACTCAAACCAGGTGTGTGTTTGTGTGTGTATACAAGTGTATGAAACATGCTTATGGGCAGCATTTTTATGATGCCTTGTGATATTTAATTTAATTCCAGAACTTTGCATGGACATGTTTGACAATGGTGAGTTTTATATTGGAGAGCAATAAGGGATCAAACAATGAGTCCAATTAGTCAATAATTCACAATACAACATCATATCCCTCAAATTGGTTACCAATCTGGTGGTGTGAGGTGTTTGCTTTCCAGATTCCAAGCATTATACTTAGGAGAATACCTAACTGAAATAGTCACCACTAGCCGGCCTCCGCCCAGTACCCTGCCCTGAACTTTAGTCACTGTTACTAGCCGGCTACCACCCAGTACTCAACCCTGCACCTTGGAGACTGCTGCATTATTTACATAGTCATTGAACACTAGTCACTTTAATCATGTTTACATACTGTTTTACCCACTTCATATGTGTATATACTGTATTCTAGTCAAGGCCTATCCTATTTAACTACTGCTGTACATACCATTTCTATTCATAATGTCTATACACACCATCATATACTAAGTATACAAACCATTAAGAATATCTGCTTTTTCTATGACAGACTGACCAGGTGAATCCAGGTGAAAGCTATGATCCCTTATTGATGTCACTTGTTAAATCCATTTCAATCAGTATTGATGAAGGGGAGGAGTCAGGTTAAAGAAGGATGTTTCAACCTTGAGACATGGATTGTGTGTGTGTACCATTCAGAGGGTGAATGGGCAAGACAAAAGATTTGTGCCTTTGAACGGGGTATTGTAGTAGGTGCCAGGAGCACCGATTTGAGTGTCAAGAACTGCAACGCTGCTGGGTTTTTCACACACCGCAGTTTCCCATGCGTGTCAAGAATGGTCCACCACCCAAAGGACATCCAGCATACTTGAAACACCTGTGGAATGCTTGACACCTTGTAGAGTAGGGATGGGCATGATGTCATAGATAAAAAAATTAAAAAGTGCCAGGCACGTCTTTCTCCATGCGCACAATTCATGCTCATTCATTGTTTTCATGGTGTGAATTGTTTGTCAATGTTTATGAAACCCCCGCTATATATCAAAAGTATAACCAGTAGTAAATGTAGGCTACCGTTAATCATTGCCATTTCCCCATTCATCTAGAATGTTTGGTTATGGTAATTTCTGTTTATTCAATGTATTAATACTGCATACCGTTCTCATTCTCGTAGTGTACAGGTTGTTTGGAGAGCTCACAAACTAATGTCTGTTTTGTCATAGAAATAATGTAACCAGCTACCTTTCCTAATCTGTTTTTCTTGAAGTTAATCTTGCATTTTACCAGAGAAAAAGAGACTACACATTAGAGCGCTGTCGGCTGATAAATGCCAGTTGGTGAATTCTCATCTGAGTGGATAAGTGCAACTGAAGAACATAATGAGTCTGATGCCGAGCAGAAACTACAACTAGCTCCGTGACAAATCAAATCAAATGTTATTTGTCACGTGCCGAATACAACAGGTGTAGACCTTACCGTGAAATGCTTACTTACAAGCCCTTAACCAACAATGCAGTTCAATAAATAGAGTTAAGAACATATTTACTAAATAAACTAAAGTAAAAAATGAAAAGTAACACAATAAAATTACATAACAATAACGAGGCTATATACAGGGGGCACCGGTACCGAGTCAATGTGGGGGGGTACAGGTTAGTCGAGTTGGTTGTACATGTAGGTGAGATGTTACCCCACTCTTCCACCAAGGCACTTGCAAGTTCTTGGACATTTCTGGGGGGAATGGCCCTAGCCCTCACCCTCCGATCCAACAGGTCCCAGACGTGCTCAATGGGATTGAGATCCGTGGCCTTCGCTGGCCATGGCAGAACACTGACATTCCTGTCTTGCAGGAACACGCACAGAACGAGCAGTATGGCTGGTGGCATTGTCATGCTGGAGGGGTCATGTCAGGATGAGCCTGCAGGAAGGGTACCACATGAGGGAGGAGGAGGTCTTCCCTGTTACGCACAGCGCTGAGATTGCCTGCAATGACAACAAGCTCAAGCCGATGATGCTGTGACACACCTCCAGACCGTGACGGACCCTCCACTTCCAAATTGTTCCCGTTCCAGAGTACAGGCCTCAGTGTAATGCTCATTCCTTCGACAATAAACGTGAATCCCGACACTTTTGCCAGTCCTGTCTAGTCCAGCGACGGTGGGTTTGTGCCCATAGGCAACGTTGTTGCCGGTGATGTCTGGTGAGGACCTGCCTTACAACAGGCCTACAAGCCCTCAGTCCAGCCTCTCTCAGCCTATTGCGGACAGTCTGAGCACTGATGGAGGGATTGTGTGTTCCTGGTGTAACTCGGGCAGTTGTTGTTGCCATCCTGTACCTGTCCCACAGGTGTGATGTTGGGCTGTACCGATCCTGTGCAGGTGTTGTTACACGTGTTCTGCCACTGCGAGGACGATCAGCTGTCCGTCCTGTCTCCCTGTAGCGCTGTCTTAGGCGTCTCACAGTACGGACATTGCAATTTATTGCCCTGGCCACATCTGTTTCTTCTGGTGTTTTTCAGAGTCAGTAGAAAGGCCTCTTTTAGTGTATGAAGTTTTCATAACTGTGAACTTAATTGCCGTCTGTAAGCTGTTAGTGTCTTAATGACCGTTCCACAGGTGCATGTTCATTTAATTGTTTATGGTTCATTGAACAAGCATGGGAAACAGTGTTTAAACCCTTTACAATGAAGATATTTTGATTTTCATGAATTATCTTTGAAAGACAGGGTCTTGAAAAAGGGACGTTTCTTTTTTTGCTGAGTTTATATTATTATTTTGTGACGTTTTTTTCTCGGCTGATAGGGCACACAGCATTTTTTATGAAGGCAAGCCGAAGTTCGGAGCCAAAGTCACGCCCCTTCGTCAGTGATTGGTCAACGATAGGGATTCTGCAAAGTCTTTGTTGTCATTCAACGAGGGACTACTTATTCTTGCACATTTTGTTAATTGAAAAATACTGAACCAAACATCTTAGTTAGGTATAAAATTGCGAGACTAAGATCGTCGACAAAGACGTCAAAATTAATGAGAGTTCTTAAATTATCTTAGATTAATTCTGACTGGCTACGGCGTCTCAAAATGGACAAACAGTACTATTGTTGCTTTTTTCTTGTTTTTTTTTTCAAGCAAAGGTCTTACGGGAATATGCAAGCACACTCGTTTGGTTAGGCTAGCCAAGTTTGGCTAGGCGCCAACCGAACTGAAGCAAGCTGACCCCTTAACTTCTCAAATGGCGTGCAACTCAATATTATGACGGTGTTCTTAATGTTTTGTACACTGTGTATACATCTATATTTCGGACTCTGACATTGCTCGTTCTAATGTTTCTATTTTTATTTTTGAGATTAGCGTGTATTGTTATTACTGCACTGTTGGAGCTAGGATCACCAGCATTTCGCTACACCTGCAATAACATCTGTTAAATATGTGTACATGACTAATAACATTTGATTTCTTCCCAACAGCTGAGAGGTTTGCTCCTCCTCTGCTGCCAAATTTCTATGAAATGGGTGAGTGCCGTTATGCCCTCGTCTTTATAATAACTACATAATAACTCCTGCTGGCATACAGTAGCGGTTGTAACATTGCAGAAACGTATGGCTTTTGTCTGGCTAAATTGTACATCCACAATAGTTTGTGAAATAAGTAATAGACTCGTTGTGGTGATCACTCATAGCCTAATCACAACCTTGGGCACTGTATTTACTTTGATACAGTGTGACACTATCTTAAGTTTCATCTGGTCTTTGTTTCAGGAGGCATGCCACCACCAGGTCATCCAAGACTGCCTAGATCCCACAGCCCAGGAGCTCCTCTCAGGGCAAACCAGAAGAAGAAGCCTCCACAAGATTCAAACCGAGAGAGAAGTAGGCTATTACAAGATGGGCCGTTGTGGCCTTGTACCCTGATAAAGATTGCCTTGTAGTGTCTAGGTACATTCTACCAAGACACTATATTGAACCATTCAACAAGCATAGAATATGATACTCCGACTAGGTCTCTCCATTTCCTTATCGGACCAGACAAAAACAGGAAAAATACAGCTTGTCCTCTTCATTCAGATACATCCGTGACATGGATGGTTCAAAAACCAGCTAGCAGATTATTGTTATACTGTCAGTAAAGACTTACTACGACTCTATTTACACCTCTAAAGGGTTAACAATGACCCAGAGTTACTTTTTTGATCCTACAAGTCTCTCAACCGGACTTCAATGCCTTTTCTCGCTTTCAGAGTCAGACAAGAAATGAGATCACAAGGAAGGGAAAGAACATACGGCTGACAGTGAGAACTGATTTTTCAGTGTATTTATGTGTGTTTAGTTCAATAACTGCCAAGCTCAGATAACAGGTGTGGTGTGCTGTGCATGGCATGTGTCAAGTAACATCACAAGTTAAAATGTTATTTGTTTATGATCTTGTTTAACAGGCTAACGGCTGTTCAGACTGTTCTGCAAACCTTAGCTGGATAGAGCGCTTAAAGGGATATTTCAACATTTTGTCAAATAAGCCAATTTTGGCAATTGAGCACGCTAGATGCTCCCATAGACTTTCAGTCATTGCGCTACTGCTAGTTAGCAATCACGCCAGAAACGACTTTCAACTTCTTTCAAACTGCACGCAGACACTAAAAATGGTATCAATGAGTTCATCGGACTCTGGGTACGTAGAAAAAAGGGGCTTAATTGCCAAAATGTTGAACTATCCCTTTAACCTACATGCCTTTAGGCAGCAGCCGACTTATACAATATTGGGTAAAAGTACTGCCTGCCATCATTGGATATGAAAATATATTCTAAGTTAATTGTTTGTCTTCCATCAGGAAATCCCCAAAAGCCACTTAATGCTCCCAGAGAGTCCGCCTCTCCTGTTCCACACACACCAAGGGAGCACCCCAGAGGAGCCTCAGCAGAACCCAGACCCAGGAACAGGGAGAACCCAGGTAGAACTGTTGTTCATGCAAAAAATCTCTATACATGTGGAAATGTTGCTTAAAATCATATTCTCTGCTAAAGCAGCTGAATTCCATAACTGAGCCTCCAATGACAAACTTGAATGCAATTCTGGATACTTGTCACAACTGGGGGGTATTCCAGAAAGATGGTTTAACAAATGTAGGATTCCCTGAACATATCCGGCTTCTCTTAACCAAATTAGGTAGTCCGTGATTTCTTGGTTCCAGAACGGCTGCTTCTCGTTTAAGTAATTATTACATTTACATTTTACATTTTAGTTATTTAGCAGACGCTCTTATCCAGAGCGACTTACAGGAGCAATTAGGGTTAAGTGCCTTGCTCAAGGGCACATCGACAGATTTTTCACCTAGTCGACTCGGGGATTAGAACCAGCGACCTTTCGGTTACTGGCACAACGCTCTTAACCACTAAGCAAATTGCGGATTGGTTGATCCGACAACTGGCGCGTGCACGCAACATTCAAAAAGGTCCTTATGTTGATGACAGAAAGAAACTATAGGTATGGAGTCAAAGGCCAGAGCCCAATATTTCACAAGTCTAGAACAAGAAACTATTGTAACATATCTTCACATATTGGCTGGCAGACAATTGCAGACCGAGTAAATGATTAAGTGAAGTGGCACGATTCCAATATCTAATAGGCCTAGCTTACACACATGGGTGATTAGTAATAATGCTTTCACTTTATAGAGCACTTTTATTGTAACGCTGGTGATATTCGTGTAAAGGCTATCGCCTAATATGTAAGTTGTAGTAGCCTATGTCACAATTGCAATGGTAGGCCCATTCCATAGCCTATGTAGGATTAACAACATTGGCAACAATGTGTTCTATGTTTATTGGTAACACCAATGATGTTTGCAAAATCTGCGGGATGAATTAGGCTATTTATCATTTTTAGCATGTTGCTTATGTTGATTAATTTGAGATTAGCAAAGCATCACAGCCTACTGTACCTGCAATTCTGTAAAATACCTCCTTGATTATACGGACAGCTTGATGGCCAGGGAATGCAACAAAGACATACAATCTCTAATGCAAGGCAGACTCTTCTTACGGCTCTACGCACAGTTGCCTTGCCAAATCGTTCAGCATCGCCCTCATTGTACAGGAAACTTCCAATGGCCAAAAAAAGTAATACAGTTTGTCGGCCTATAGCAGTAAAGGCGAAACCACGTTGGATTACATTGGCTATGTACAGGTTGAGTAAATTGGCCAGATCTGATTGATTGTGCGGAAAAACGATAACGATCCAAAAGAGAACCTTCGGAATGATCTAGTCGAGGTCCAATAATGTGTTCCCTTTGTAATGCACTGCAAACAACGCAGGCTCTGATGTCAATTGGATTTTCCGCCATAGTGACGGACAACAATCTGATTGGCGGAGAAGCCCAGTCTTTATTCACCAGGACAGGCTAAGATCAAGTTAACCTCTTAGGTAGCAGGTTTGCTTCAGAGCATTCGTTGCTATGGTTGATCAGGCTATAGGTAGAGTTCTCTTTCTGGAACCGGAAATTCTGAGTTTGCTCAAATTCTAGTTTGACAGATCTCGCCAACTCTCTAATACGGCTTTCTGGAGTACCCCTCTGGTTTATCAAAGTCACCTATGCACTCTACAAAACCAATGTCATGACATTTTTCTTACAGGACCACCAAGTGTTCCCCCAAGTATCACGTCTGCAGCAAAACGAAATGACCTTCTACAATGTAAGTTCACGAGTGTTACGAAACCACTTCGCAAACCGACTGGCTCAATCTAGGGAAGCTAGGATGGGCTATACATTTGCCAGAAGATACCGACCCTACCATTACGCTTGTTTACACTGAGCTGCACTGGGGCCGGAATGTAATCATGGTTACATTAAGACACTGGAGCCGGCGTAAGATATGGGACGGATGCAGGGATAGGATATGCCACTGTGCTCCAAATGTTACCTTTATCCACACTGCTCCATCGAGAAGATTTAAATACTGTTTGTTTTCTTGGAAAACTGGCCTTTTTGTCCTCATACAAGCCAGCAGTAGCCACCGCAGCCATTTTGGAATGGTAGTGTCAGCCAATCAGCTCCTTTGTTGTTCAACGTGACGTGCCATTCCATAATGGCTGCTGTGGTTAATTCTAGCTAGCATGAGGATGAAAAGGGCTAGCAGTATTTCCATCTTCTCGATGGAGCAGTGTGGATTAAGGTAAAATTTGGAGTACAGTGGCATATCCCATTCCTGCATTAAGGTACGTTTTCCGACCCTTATCTTGTGCCGGCTCCATGGTGTCTTAATGTAACCAAGATTGCGTTCTGACCCCAATGCAGCTCAGTGTAAACAAGCGTAACGGTAGGGTCGGAATCTTCTGGCAAGCTACAAGTCTGTATCCTCTGAGTGTGTTCAGTCGTGGTCAAAAGTTTTGAGAATGACACAAGTATTGGTCTTCACAAAGTTTGCTGCTTCAGTGTTTTTAGATATTTTTGTCAGTAGTTACTATGGTATACTGAAGTATAATTACAAGCAATTACACCTGCCTGCTGCCATTCCTGAGCAAGCTCTGCACTGGTGGTGCCCCGATCCCGCAGCTGAATCAACTTTAGGAGACGGTCCTGGCGCTTGCTGGACTTTCTTGGGCGCCCTGAAGCTTTCTTCACAACAATTGAACCTCTCTCCTTGAAGTTGTTGATGATCCGATAAATGGTTGATTTAGGTGCAATCTTACTAGCAGCAATATCCTTGCCTGTGAAGCCCTTTTTGTGCAAAGCAATGATGACAGCACGTGTTTCCTGGCAGGTAACCATGGTTAACAGAGGAAGAACAATGATTTCAAGCGCCACCCTCCTTTTAAAGCTTCCAGTCTGTTATTCTAACTCAATCAGCATGACCGAGTAATCTCCAGCCTTGTCCTCATCAACTCTCACCTGTGTTAACAAGAGAATCACTGACATGATGTCAGTTGGTCCTTTTGTGGCAGGGCTGAAATGCAGTGGAAATGTTTTTTTGGGATTAAGTTCATTTTCATGGCAAAGAGGGACTTTGCAATTAATTTCAATTCATCTGATCACTCTTCATAACATTCTGGAGTATATGCAAATTGCCATCATAAAAACTGAGGCAGCAGACTTTGTGAAAATTCATATTTGTGTCATTCTCAAAGCTTTTGACCACGGCTGTACATTCAACATAAGTCAACAGGGTGTTGTTAGTGTCCCTAGGGGAGGCTGCGTGTGGTCAAACCACTTATCTACCTGTATTCCTAACACTAGCTTGAAAACAAGTACTGCATTATGAAGGAACATTTAGAAAAGTGTGTACATGGGTGTGTTTGTGTGAGAGAGAATCTTACCTCCTGTCTCTCCCTCACCAGATGGCACGGTTCTCACCCTTGACCCCAAAACGGCCCACAAGCGCATCTCCCTCACAGAGAACATGACCATGGCCTCTGTGTCCGACGAGCCCACCCCTTACCCCGATGGCCCCGCCCGCTTCTCCGTCTGCAGCCAGGTGCTCACCTCCAAGGGCTTCTCCCGCGGCCGCCACTACTGGGAGGTCAAGATGAGCAGCAACAACTTCACCGGCATCGGCCTGGCCTACAACAGCATCGACCGGAAGGGTCCGGCTAGCCGGCTGGGGCGTAACGCCCAGTCCTGGTGCGTGGAGTGGTTCAACGTCAAGCTGTCGGCCTGGCACGCTAGCAGTGAGACTGTACTGCAGAACCCGAATCCGACCCGTGTCGGCGTGCTGCTAGATTGTGAGGAGGGAACGGCCACTTTCTATAACGTACAGGACCGGGCATACCCTTTCCATACGTTTGTGTTCCAGTTCGCCGAGGCAGTGTACCCGGCGTTCTGGCTCTTCTCCAGCGGCTCGTCTGTTAGCCTGTGCAAGCTGCAGTCTTAAGAAGTTAACAAAACACACACACACACACATTCTTCCCCCTCACAAATAATTAGAATGTACAGCATCTGGGTCAATATATTACTTATTCATACTGATATTGGGAACCTATATTGGAAATGTATCTTAAAGGTTATTATTTGGTTGTAGTCACTGACTCTAGTAACAGTGCAGTGTAGGTCATATCAATTTGGACTTTGGTCTCTTGTAACTACAGCAACCTCTAAACAGGCAGTGTTTGTTAATCAGTAAGTAATGAAAACTAGGCACTTGCATGCAGGTAAAGAAACATTACAAATGATTATACAATATTATTGTATTGTCAAAAGCATGATGACATCCTTACTGCTTTTGTTTTACTGCTGTTGTGAAGTCAGCAGCATGCCGTGAAGGAATTTAAGTTGATTTATTCCTTAATGGTTACACTGACATAGCTAGTTACATTGGCTGGATGGAAGGAATTATTTGACGTTGTGATCATTCATGTCTGATTCGCAAGTAGTTACGTTACGTGTTATGGGCAAACATGACTTACAAACATAACTACTAAGTGGTATTTGAACCAGGCGAATTTGTTCTTTCTCCTGTTCTGCAGTCCTGGCTAAATGTCTTGAGATCATTCAGGTTATTTACAGACACAGTGAAGTGGTTTGTCGGTAGCTGTTTATAGCCTGTTTTATCAGAGCTTATGATCTCTTGATGGTGGTCTCGGTAGCACACAGTAGTCACACGTAATAGACACAAAACAACATGCATAAACATGTGTCTAACGTGTATGTTATATACTGTATATGAACAGTACCACACCGTTCAGAAGGCCATGGACTGGCACACCTATGCAAGAGAGTGGATGGCTTTTGCTGGTGTCAGGCATTCTGCATTAGGGAGTGTCATATAACCCTAACCCTAACACCGCTGGATATAGAGAAGCAATGAATAGAACAGAAAAGCATCCACATTATGCTTGTTACCCCCAAAGGAAAAGTGGGTATCGTTCACTTATTTCTTGATCTACTACATTTCGCTACAGGGGTTTCCGCAGTGTGAGGATGTGCTGAAAGCGCTTCCTGCCACTGCTACTACAGTTTTGATAGAACCTAGCCTCATTGCCAGATCTGCATTTGGTTTAGAATTACAGTGAACAGGTCAGAGGAGTTGGTTGATCTGGCAACCAGGCTAGATAGACCCAGCCTGGCCCATAAGAACAGAAGCGGAGGTCATTTAGGCCCTGTGAACTGGAGTTTTTCAGACTCTGTGGGTTTTGTAAATGGGGATGATTTAGGGCTGGCGTTTTGCCTGTCCATCTGACCAGACAAAGGAAAAACTCTGGCCCCAAGTTATAGCTAATATATCTGTAGCCCATACCTAGGGCCTTCTCATGTCCTAGAAGGGTACATATCTGTAGCGCAGTGATGATGGTCTGTTGGTGTTAGTTTGGACATTGTGTCTGTGGGTGTCACACTGTCTGTGACGTGAGTGCATGCTTCTCATAATTGATGTCTCTGATATTGTTGATTGGATCTTTTCCGTTAATGGATATACAGCCATCGATACAATCGGAGAGCAAGTTGAGACTAGCATGTGATGGATTCGTTTTGCTTTGCAAAGCCCAGTGAAAATGAATAGTTGGTGTCATTGCCTTCTCCCTCTATAGAAACACTAGTTTTCCTGATTTATGGGATTTCTACTGTTTAATGGACTGAAGGCAAGCTGATATTTAAGGCAAAGATTAATTCATTTTCTTGATTTAAGCCATTATTGCCACTGGCTTTTTAAGAGCTCTCGAAAGGTTTGGACAAAGTCCGAACGACTGACTAACACAACGCCAGATAAAGAGCGAAGATCAGGGGGCCATAGTCATGGTACTTGTGTGTTAGCATGTTATGCTCTCTGTCCATTCCTTCAGTCTTATTAGCACGGTTCTTAATTCATGTGCTAATGGTGTACACTGTGTTGGTTTGGTTTACTGACTTTCAGTTTGATTGATTCTTGTGTTTAACTGAAACCAAGATATTTGAAATTGTTTGTGTTTTTTAAAGGGTAAGGTGTTGATTCTGTTTGTGTGTAAGGGGTTTAATCTTGTTAAAGACAACTTGAGAATGCCCCTCATGATTTACTATTATAAGCGATCTGTGCCAATATATTCCTTCAAAAATGTACCTCATACAAATCTCTCTCGCTATATATATATATATATAATGCATTTGGTAATCATATTACTTCATACTGCTCAGGAGTATTGACTTATTGCAAGTGCACGGGAAGGAAAAGCAGTGATATTGCTTTCATATTATATACTTGCAAAACTAACAATGAAATAATACAAATGTATACTTATTAGAAAACAATGAAATTCAAAATACATATGAAAATATTTATTATGGGTGTTTCCAAATTCTAATTTACATTGCTTATTACATTCAGTTAAATGATCAGTTTCAATATCTGTAGTAGCAGTAGGGGCGGCAGGTAGCTTAGTGGTTTAAGAGCGTTGTGCCAGTAACCGAAAGGTCGCTGGTTCTAATCCCCGAGCCGACTAGGTGAAAAATCTGTTGATGTGCCCTTGAGCAAGGCAGTTAACCCTAATTGCTCCTGTAAGTCGCTCTGGATAAGAGCGTCTGCTAAATGACAAAAAAAATAAAAAATAGCAAATTCAGTAAAGCCGTTTCTTTTAATATTTGTCTCTTACATGTTTGTCTCTGTTTTTAATTGCTTTTAAGTGATTCATTGTTTGCTTACAATAAAAGCCTTATTTTCCTCAGGTGTTTTATCCATCTCTCTCAATTCAGATTTCATTTTTAAATGGCCACGAAGCAGATGGCAAATTTTGGACCATTAAATGGAGACAAAATGGAGTCCTATGAATTCCATTCCATTAAGTCAGTAAAGTGCTGTTATGACTAACTGGTTTCATTGACACTTCCCACAGCAATCTTGTGCATTTATATACAGTGGTTTGACTGCAAAAACAAAATGTGTAGCTAAATATATCTCCAAATATACTGTTGTTCCTCATGGTACATTGTAAATTTTACTCAAATTTTCCTGTAAAGTTTATCAGCAATAGACTATCACACGGTCTCCTTCCATCGTTAAGTGTAGACATAATGACATGTACATAAACTACCAAGAGTAAGATTAACCATTACCATTCAATATCTGAAGACAATCTAGATGAAAACATTCGGTGGCATACAGTATGATCTTCGACAAACCTCATTTTCCAAAACACATGGAATGGAAGTAGGCTATTTCTCCAGCAATGCAATTACATTTCTAAAAAACCTCACCACCGATAGAGTATCACAGTATGAGTCATAATACCCATAAAACCTAGTGGTCAAATCCCATAGTGGATTTTAGAAACACTTAAAATAAGGGCTGTGTTTCGTGTAGGCTTACCCTGGCGTGACGTTTTGATAACTGTGTAAATCTCTCTAGGAAAATGTTAATTAGCTGCTAATGTGGCCATCATGCAGAGCTACAAATACCATGATCTGGACGAGACTGCCGAATTGAGGCAAAGGTAAGAATCTCTGGATTAACTATCTAATGTTAGTTAAATGTAATGAGTCAATTTAAATTGACAATTCTGTGAACGGTCTTGTGCAAGATTTAAATTGACACAATACCTGTTAGCAAGGGTGTCTGCTAGAGATGACGTGCAGGAGTTTGCAGGGATTTGTAGTTTTGGATGTCTAATTTGATGCTAATTAGCATTTTTGTAAATGGAGCACCTTGTCCGAGAGAGATTAACATTGTTATCAAAACATCACGCCAGGGTTAGCCTACACGAAACACAGCCCTTATTAAGTGTTTTTAAAATAGGAAAAATGAATGTTGAAAAAAAAAATTGGAACCATTTCCCTGTTTGACCGCTAGGTTTTATGGGTATTATGACACCTCCACTGTGGGGCTCTATACCCCTCAAACTCAACTCTGGAACTCAAAGCCAGTTCCACTGCATTTTTGTATTGTTCCCCTCTAATCTGGGAATGATTTAGACCTGGGACAACAGGTGTGTGCAATTCATTATCAGGTAGAACAGAACACCAGCAGGCTCCGGACCTCATAGGGTAAGAGTTGAGTACCTCTGAACTATACTGTTTAAAATTACATTTCTGTCCACATTTAAGATGCTCAGACCCGTTTCTAGAACATTCAGGTTTGTTGTAAACATAAAATGGTTGTCCTCAAGCAACAAGATGATTACCCAACGGCTTAACACACAAAGGGAATGTAAGCACTTGTAGATGCCTAAAAAGGACCTAATATATATATATATATTACACAAGCATTGGCATTATATTGATAACTATGGGCCTCTGAAACTTAAGATGAACATTGACAATCCTCCTGTTATACAGTTGATGCCAATAGTTGGCTCTGGCTTCATCTATAAGAGCTGAGACTTTAAGGTCATATTTTTTGCAGTCACGCTGCACAGATGATTAGGAGTGCTGATCTAGGCTCAGTTTTAGCCTTTTAGATCACAATGTATAAGATTATTAGACAGGGGGAGATCTGGTAGCCTGGTGGAACCAATCTGATTGCTGTGTGAACCATTCTGTTTCACTGCATTTGACTTGAAATAGAATGGTGAATTCAGTGATCACACTGGTTCCACAAGCCTAGTGACCTGGAGAAGTGCTTAGGAACCAGGTGCACAGTGTGACTGCATAACAGATGACCTGGAACTCCACCTACATTTTATATTATGGCTGTAAGAAACCTTCTGATATCATCTCAACTTTGACCCTTGACCTCACTAAAATGACAAACATGACATATTCCTGAAAGGTGATGGAGATTCAGAAAAAACCCAATCACAGATCATTAAAAACATTCAGTGGTACTAAACATTACGACAGTCGACAGACCATAAAAATAGAATGGCTAGATTCTAATCTATTTCTGTTACAGACATAGGGTGTCACCTAGAGGTTTGTCTAGTGCTAAGCAGCATGAATATTAAAAAGTGTTTGAAATAAACAATCTTTCCATAGTAGACAACATAAACAAAATAGATACGGACAGTGTAATATCATAACTATACCTATGAACACTTTGAGCAGTTACAATTCAGTTTTGAGGGACGGTACAATTTTTACTATGTCCTACGGAGTAATTACTACAGTACAACAAAGAAGTGCCCAACACAAAGAGGTCTAATCAAGAAAAGGACCAAATATTGCAAAGAAGTAGGAGTACGTTAACAGACAGTGGATTATTGTGGTAGACATTTTGTCTCCAAAAATTACAAGGTCGAAATAATAAAACCTGTGGATAAATCCTTCATAAGCAACAGATACAGTTGAAGTCGGAAGTTTACATACACTTAGGTTAGAGTCATTAAAACTCGTTTTTCAACCACTCCACAAATTTCTTGTTAACAAACTATAGTTTTGGCAAGTCGGTTAGGACACCTACTTTGTGCATGACACAAGTAATTTTTCCAACAATTGTTTACAGACAGATTATTTCACTTATAATTCACTGTATCACAATTCCAGTGGGTCAGAAGTTTACATACACTAAGTTGACTGTGTCTTTAAACAGCTTGGAAAATTCCAGAAAATTATGTCATGGCTTTAGAAGCTTCTGATAGGCTAATTTACATAATTTGAGTCAATTGGAGGTGTACCTGTGGATGTATTTCAAGGCCTACCTTCAAACTCAGTGCCTATTTGCTTGACATCATGGGAAAATCAAAAGAAAAATCTGCCAAGACCTCAGAAAAAAATGTGTAGACCTCCACAAGTCTGGTTCATCCTTGGGAGCAATTTCCAAACGCCTGAAGGTACCACGTTCATCTGTACAAACAATAGTACGCAAGTATAAACACCATGGGACCACACAGCCGTCATACCGCTCAGGAAGGAGACGCGTTCTGTCTCCTAGAAATTAATGTACTTTGGTGCGAAAAGTGCAAATCAATCCCAGAACAACAGCAAAGGACCTTGTGAAGATGCTGGAGGAAACAGGTACAAGGTATCTATATGCACAGTAAAACAAGTCCTATATCGACTTAACCTGAAAGGCCGCTCAGCAAGGAAGAAGCCACTGCTCCAAAACCGCCATAAAAAAGCCAGACTACGGTTTGCAACTGCACATGGGGACAAAGATCGTACTTTTTGGAGAAATGTCCTCTGGTCTGATGAAACAAAAATATAACTGTTTGGCCATAATGACAATCGTTATGTTTGGGAGGAAAAAGGGGAAAGCTTGCAAGCCGAAGAACACCATCCCAACCGTGAAGCACGGGGGTGGCAGCATCATGCTGTGGGGGTGCTTTGCTGCAGGAGGGACTGGTGCACTTCACAAAATAGATGGCATCATGAGGAAGGAAAATGATGTGGATATATTGAAGCAACATCTCAAGACATCAGTCAAGAAGTTAAAGCTTGGTCACAAATGGGTCTTCCAAATGGACAATGACCCCAAGCATACTTCCAAAGTTGTGGCAAAATGGCTTAAGGACAACAAAGTCAAAGTATTGGAGTGGCCATCACAAAGCCCGGACATCAATCCTATAGAAAATGTGTGGGCAGAACTGAAAAGCGTGTGCGAGCAAGGAGGCCTACAAACCTAACTCAGTTACACCAGCTCTGACAGAAGGAATGGGCCAAGATTCACCCAACTTATTGTGGGAAGCTTGTGGAAGGCTACCCAATACGTTTGACGCAAGTTAAACAATTTGAAGGCCATGCTACCAAATACTAATTGAGTGCATGTAAACTTCTGACCCACTGGGAATGTGATGAAAGAAATAAAAGCTGAAATAAATCATTCTCTCTACTATTATTCTGACATTTCACATTCTTAAAATAAAAGTGGTGATCCTAACTGACCTAAGACAGGGAATTTGTACTAGGATTAAATGTCAAGACTGAGTTTAAATGTATTTGTCTAAGGTGTTTGTAAACTTCCGACTTCAACTGTATTTCACTAGGAATGGTTGACTAGGTGTCCTAATAAACTCATTTTAAGAAATATAGTCAAGTAACATTTTCTTAAGACTTAGTAACCACTAACTAGTGTCTGTCCAATACAGCACATGTAATAGGGGATTTGGCCAACAAGGGCAGTAACAGTGCATCATCATGAAATAGAGTAAATAAAACAAAATGTCCAGTGACTGACTTACAAATATATATTCTATCATAGGAGTCAGAGTGTCGAGGCCAATGCTTCCTCCTGAGTCAGGGACACACAGGGTCCATGTTGGGAAACACTGCCAAACTATTAATACTATAGAACTGTTTTACTATGGCACAAGGGATCAGTGCAAATATACAGCCCATCCTCCACTGAAACATCTCCCTCCTTCCTTCCCTCCCACCTTCACCACGAGGCGGGAATATGTCTGAGCTCTGGCTTATAACATCTGGGGAGTGTGCAAGCGTGGCAATTGTCATAAGCATTTACCATAACGAACAAAGGAGGGGTATGGAAGAAACATTGAGGAGGTGGAACTTGGGGGCTCAGGCACGAGCAGAGGCGGGACCTGCTGGCTTAGGAGAGTCATGGGGGGCGGAGCTCTCAGCCTCGGAGGTGCTGGATTCGTCGTCGTCGTCGGTCTGCTCGGCGCTGTGGTAGAGCATGAAGGCCTGGGTCTTGTGGGTGATGGTGATGGTGCACGGGCCCTGGGCCCACGGCTCCCCGTCCACCTGCATGGGCATCCGGGACGTCTTCAGCACCAGCTACAGAGAGATAGGAAGGGAGAGGTGGTAAGAGAGATGGGTGGAGAAAAGTGAAGAAGGAAAGCGGTGAGAGGTGGGTGGAGGAGAGCTGAACAGTGATGAGCACAGTAAAAGCATATTTTAAGTACATTGACATGAACTAACCACATTTAAGACAAAACTAGCTAATTACTCCATTACTTAGAAAAGATGGCCATTCAAACTGGTACTGTATCTATTCAGCTAAGGTCAAAATGACAGAACCAGGAAGGAAACACAGAATACACCAGACACAAATGTGTCCAGTAGACCACTGCTGTCCCCTCACACTGTGGAGATAAACAGCAAGTGGTGGTGATGGAATGGTGTTGTAACCTCACCCTGACTGTGTGGGCCTGGCCCAGCCTCACCGGGTTAGCCATCTTGACTTGGATCTGAGCACAGTGGAAGGAGCCAAACACACCCACCACCTCCAGCAGCCCGTCATCCAGCCTGGGATAGAGGACAGGAGAAAAACACTTAGAAATAACAAGTCAGAAAAGCTTTATAGAGCATTCATAAAGGTTTCATAAGGCCTAGATATATGCTTCACAAATCACCCTTTAGATAGAATGACATTTGCTTATGAATGACTTCTGAAGCATCACTAAAGGCCTAATATGGAGTTTATGAAGGCTTCACAAAAAAGGACAAAGTGATCTTTAGCTTTCAGTGATAATACACAAACAACTTTTCAATGGACAGTCTGTCTGATGGTAGGGCTTATGAAGCCTTTATTGTTTCTGTGTGACCCAGTGGTGCTCACCGTGTAGGGGGGTAGGGCTCGTCCCCCATGCCCTCCCACAGACGACAGCCTCCGCCCCAGTAGCCGATGTTACACACGATGATGCCCTCCAGACTGGGCAGGGCCACCCTCTCTCCATCCAGCTCCAACTGTGGGAGCACACACGGGCACACACACGGGCACACACACGGGCACACACACACGAGCATGCATACACACACGGTCACACACAATATTATTAAATGATATGAGTATCAGCTAGTTCAAGGAGGCATCCAAGGATTACACAACGCACAAAGAATGCTTGAGTTCATTTTAAGTTTGTGACATTTACCAAGGCAATGGAACATTCTATTACATTCTTCCAGAGGCATAGAGGTGAAAGAGTGCACAATAGACATGAGTCAATCCCTGAGGCCACTGTGTGTGTCTGTGTGCGTGTGTTGTGTGTGTTTGCGTGCGTGTTGTGTGTGTGTGTTTGCGTGCGTGCATTACCTCAATCCTCTTATCCAGGTCTTTGCATTCTTGAACTAAGCAATCTTTGGTACCATACATGAAATATACAGCCTAGAAGGAAAGGCAACAGTTTGACTATTATAAAGGGGAAAGCAATATGGACAAAGGACATGTTGGAACAAATTCAAATATTTTTTACATTTTCACCCAAACAACCACTCCTAGACTATTCCGAATCAGCCATTTATAGAACAACTAACCACATAATTAATATTCAGTAAGTAAAAGCATTTTCAAATGTATTTGACTAAGAGAGAAAAGTAGCATTAAAGCATTTTTTCCAAATTGATGTGTAGACCATTACACTCAAGCAACCATCCTGTATATTTCCTCTCATACTGTATGTAAATTCAACCATGTGAAGTAATTTGCATATGTTTGTTAATATTTTCAGATATGTCTTTGGCCAACTCTGACCTTGTTGATGATGCGACTGGAGAAGAAGGAGGGGGTCTTCTCACGGTGGTTGTGGAAGTTGAGCGCCATCAGAGCATCCGGCCCCACTGAGAAATAGTTATTCATGGTCAGGACCTGATGAAAGTAGTACACACACGACTTTAGTGATCAAATCAATGGTATAAACAGTGAATAATCAATTCCAGAAAGCAGGAGTATTAAGTTAACCAGCTAACTTTGATAAACAACCATGCAACTTGTTTTTCTGGTTAATTAAGAACGCTAAATTTGTATATTGGTTGTTGTTTGTTGAGTCAATTATACCTTGTCTATTTTAAGTCCTTTTTCTTACAAATAAGTTATTTCAAGCAATTTTGGACAGTTAGCTGGCATACTCATTGATCTAGCTTCCTGGGACAGCCCCATGATTGCAATGGATCACATGGTTGGAACATGGTTCTGGCAGTGGCAACACCAGAGTTATAGGTGTAATTCCTGTATGGGCCACACACTGAATATATACAACATGTGTTACTGAATCATATCAAAATGCAGGGCAAAATGGACAAGATCAAAAGAGGCTAGCTAGAGAGGGTGAAATGCAACTCACCTTTGGCTTACGAAAGTAGAGTCCCTTTGAGGCTACCTGAACTTTCCACCTGTTAGGAAAATGAATATAAAAATGTCATACTGGATCATTTACAACCATGTTACAACACAAATGGAACTAGGGATATTGAGCTTTGCAGCATTAGCACAGAAGGCTACGTTACATGAGCTTTGTAGCATTAGCACAGAAGGCTACAGGACTTGGATTTCGTACTATTAGAAGGCGTTACTTGAGCTTCGTAGCATTAGCACAGGAGGCTACAGGACTTGCTCTTCGTAGCATTAGCACAGAAGGCTACATTACTTGGGCTACATAGCATTGTAGCATTAGCACAGGAGGCTACACAACTCCCTCTGGCTCGCCACTGACCTGTCCATCTTGACCACCTCTGCTTCAAGGACATTCCTTAGCACCTGCTCCACAGGGATCTCCCCGGCGTAGCCCGACCCCCAGCCCAGGGAGTTGGACAGGTCGTTCCCCGTACCCAGTGGCAGAATCATCACCCTGGGGATGAACTGGTCGTGGCCCTGGAGACCAATACACACACACACACACGCACGTAAGCACACACACGCATGTGAAACCGACATCAGTGTGCTGCTAACAGTATAGCTTCCTCCACTGTCCCTGTCCCCATACCGGGCTTGAACCAGTGATCCTCTGCTCGCAAACACACGTGACCGCCCTCCTTGACAACGTACCACCCGTTTGAGCTATCGAAAAAGATCTAATGCGATAGCTCCATCGGCAACATTTCAAGCTAGCTGTGGAGTGAGTATGGTACGTTCTCAACTCCGTTAAAAAACACGCACGCCATCTATAGACGTCTTATTCAATAACAACCAACAACAGCAGTTACGACAGTATTTTGGCACAGAGCTGCACGACTCTCGTCTGCGCCCGCCACTGTCATGTTACACATGTAAACACACACAGTCCTTTACCTTGAGCTTCATGGTGTCGATGGCATCCAGCACCCAGCCCACGGTGCCGTCCCCCCCACACACCAGCACCCTCACACTGCCTGGAGGCAGCAGGGTGCACAGCTGCAGGGCCTTGGAGGGAGGCAGCTCCGACAGGTCAAACACCTGGGAGAGGAAGGGAGGAGAAAGGAAGGGAGGGGAGGAGAAAGGAGGGGAGGAGAAAGGAGGGGAGGAGAGGAGAAAGGAGGGGAGGGGAGGAGAAAGGAGAGGATAGCAGACAGAAAAGGGATGATATGGGAGGAAACAAAAGGGAAACGGTGGATGGGAGGGGAGGGAGGAGATGTTTATGCATCCCGCCATCACCGCGCCACCTCCACAATCACTTTAACTTGAAAGAGTGCCTATTGGGGGCTAGTTCAATTTGACCTAGACATCTTAATAATTCCATAATATGCTCCTACAGGATGCTACACAGAGGACTGACTGACCTGGACAGGGTTGAGGATGGTGCGGAATTCTCCAAGCAGAGCCTCCCCCATGTTGTTCCCACTGCGAGTGTTGGCCAGGACCAGCACTGGAGTCCAGCCACTCCCGCAGGCAGACGCCAACTAGACACACACACACACTTAAAATTAAAGTAAACAAAACCTGTTTCAAGCCACAACCCAGTCTTCTAACCTGACTCAAGAGGGACTGGCTGTTGCTAGTAATGCAACCAAACAGTCGGTCCCGATCCACCATTTGGGACACCCTAAACCCAGACACTGACCCCTCCCTGGGTGTGACCTCTGACCTTGCTGTACTCATCGGGGTGCCTGCGGCGGAGCTTATTGACATTGTGGAGGTAGTGAGGGGGGATGATGAGGCTGCGGAACTCGCCCAGCTCACAGCGCTCCCCGTCTGACAGGCTGGGCTTGCAGTCGTCGTGCACCATGGTCTGACACCACACACACCTGCCAAGGGCCAAACACACACCCATCAGAGGATCAAGCACAATTTATGTGGAGCTAACTGTAATGTCAAGGCAAAAGATGGATAGAGTGCTGGTTAAGAATTGTAAGTGAAAGAGGTCATTATTAATTCCTGTCAATTTGCAAATAATGCAATTTCAGCTTCCCCCATGATTGAAAAATTACAAATAGCACCCTTTCTCTGTCTTTCGTGCCAGAACCATAGACATAAAAGTTAACGCCTTTGCATCCCCCTGGGCTTCATTCTGATTAATGTGTCAGATAGAAACTCACACACAAATGACAGCCTAGAAGCAAAATAATATTACCTAAAATCACACAGCTTCGGTTGGTTCCCGCATTGCTCCTTGCAGACCGCGCAGACACTGCAGAGAGGGACGTTTCCCCGGACCCAGCGGTGCTCCATTGTCCCATCCGTTTGGGACGGCGCCATAATCTCTTTGCACACAAGGCTCCGGTCGGCCCGACGCAGGCATGTCTCGTCCGCGCACACTCCGCAGCAGTCGCAGAACGCCCCTTGTAGAATGTGTTGTTGGCATACACAGCAGTAGGTGGGCTTGTTGAACAGGTCGGTGCAGTGCCAACCGTGCTTGCTCTTGCGGAAGAAGTCTTTCATGTGTATTTTCCGTTTGGAGCGTTGGGCACTGCACCACAATGTAATGATCACGGGCACTACGACAGCGAGAGCGGTCCAAAACAGGAGTGTCCACTCTTCCCGTGACGATTGGTCGCGGTTTCCCTCGTCCCCCTCCATAGACATTCGAGGAAGAGTGGTTGGTATTAACGCGAATAAACTAATCAAATCATAGAATATCACGATAATTCACCAATATAAACATGGTGCGAAGGGCGCGTCCATCATGAAAGAACGCACAAAACAAGGCTCGAGCAAGATTGTAAACAAGGACTGCCGTGACAAGATGTTGCAAAATGCGTAGCTAGACGACGACCACCAACATTTGAAATATTAGCCACCTGTTAGATATAGTTATTGGGCACCTGATGTGCTCCTCACCTCTCCAGCAATGACCACATTACAAGCTGATAATCCATCGTTGTAAAAAAAAAAATTCATAATACGGAAACTCATGCCCAGGCATTTATAATATTAAAGGTTGCATTGACATGACAGCTTCATTACTATATCAATAACACGACTAAACAATAGATTAATCGATAAAACATATGTACCATTGCAAACAGTAGCCTTTCCACCTAATGACCGTGTTCAAGAGCGTCAAAACCGTGTTGTATCATGGGTAACTTTTAACTGACTGATCTGCAAATAATATTGAGTAGTTATTTATATAGAGATAGATATAGGACTCATCTTTGTATCTGTGCCATTATAGCGTATGTGACAGCAAGCGCAGCGCCATTGAGGCTATCTCCATTTTGAAGTAGTCAATTTTCTTCTTCCCGATTGGCTGATTCCTGGTGACCCTGTTGGAGTCATGTCCAACCGGGTCACCAGGAGGGATCAGCCAATGAAGTTGGAAGTCCCACCCAGTTGACTACATTAAAATGGTGATAGCCCTCAATGGCGCTGCCAATGCTAAATAGTATTTTGGCCACTAGAGGCCTCTATCATTCTCTATGGTGATTTATGATGCAAGGTGATTTGTAGATCAGTCAGTTTCGACTCGGCTTTAAAGCGGGCTGCAATGTCGAACGGGTTATCAATACTGTCGTCCGTTTTAATTGGCCAATATGCTAACTGCCACCATGACGTATGTTTTTATGTACTACTCAGCTGACTCTGGCAACTGAAAAACAGATAAAAAACAGTTTGTTGAGTGGAAAGATGTAGAGAGTTTCGTTCAATACATTAAAATATCATTACTAAGGCATCAAGGCACATCTACATAACATAATTATATTATAAACTCAGACAGAGCTTTACATTCACTGATAGGCCTACTAGGCCTATAGGAAGTTACCCCTACTCTTATATTTTGGAAAAGCAGGCACATTATTTGGGCATTTCTACGTGATGATAGAAATAAGTTGAGCAATAACTTTATTACATTACATTTGACTGGAATGACTGTTAAAAACAAGACAAGCTGTCAAAAAATCTTGCAATCCAAACAGTGACAAGGTCAAAATACCCTTTTCACGGCACTTCGACACCGAAGCAGGTTAGGAGACGGCGGTTAAGGTTAGGAAAAGGGTTATGGTTAGCTAAAATGCTCTCCTAACATGCTACGGAAATCACTTTGTATCGAAGTGCTGTAAAAAGAGTGTGGACCAAGGACGATAAGGCACATGTCCTAGTTTCCGGGAAACCGAGAACAAAACAGAAAACAGGCTTTGAAAAACCACATCCATTAATCCTTGACATGTTATCTCTGTATAAAATGAGTTTTGCGCGCCATCTAGTGGATAGAATCAGCATTGCAAAGTTGAAATCATCACGCTAAAACTGCAACTGGATACAGATGTCGTTCATGCTAGAAGAAAAATATAATTGAGTATGGTGTCAAAGTTCAAATTGATGGAAAAACACGTACATTGCATGCTATAATCACCGCCAAATAAATATACAAATAAATGTCTCATGCCAGAACAGCAGGCACAGTGACACTAAACAGATGTTTTCACAGTTATGTTACCCAGTTTTGTGATATTTGCATTGGGGTAGGTGATGGTGACGTAAGAGGATAATTAACCCCCTCACCTCCTACGGACCGGGGTCTCAGTGCAGAAGTAGCCGGGCAGGAGAGCTGAGACCAAGATGAAGAAGTTTGTGGCATTTTCCCTCTGTCTGGTCCTCTTGACCATCTACACAGCAGGTAGGCTAATTTTGAAGAGGTAAATTGCCTTTAGAAAAATGTATTAATTAACCTATTGGTGACTGGTGAGTCTTTTGGAGGGTCTCTGATAAAAATGTATCTTTGCATTTTTTTCTAAATATTAATGCAATAGAAATGTTGTTTTAATAAAATATGAATATACCGTTGCTAAGCAGTAATTAATGCAGTAATTTGTATGCTCAAATAATTAAATGGGTAATGAAAAGTAATTGCTGCATAATTCAACTTAAAATAAAAATGCAATTCAGTCATGCACAGAAAAGCAAATATTGTGTTGCCTCATTGTAACTAGTAAATATGAAACTAAATACATTTCTTTTGTATTAAGACATTGCATGAAAATATGAAAGCAAAAACACAAAAAAATTCATGTAAAACAAATATGACAGAGTTGTTTTAACTGCATGCATATAGCTCATTTCAAATACTATATTGATATGCACCCTATTACAATATCATGTACTTCCATTTTGAAGCTCTTATCAATGCAGTTTCATAATCATTGCAAAAAGCCTGCATGAGCTCTGGGTGTTGCTTTGCCACGTCGCTGTGTGTGCCTGGCGCTGTTGACAGAGCCAGCCAGATCCATTTTCATACCCCCTCGCAGGTTGGCCTTTGGGGGTCACGTGCTCCGTGGGCCGCCCTGGCTCCCTGGGGAGTGGGGGAAATGAATGGGCACTTTGTTGCTCCACCAAAAAACAGCCTCCTAATGGTATTCTGCTGCTGCTGGGGGACAGACAGGGACAGAGCTCTATGAGACCAGGGTTGCATCTCAAATAGCACCCTATTCCCTATATAGTGCACTACTTTTGACCAGGGCCCAGTGCACTATATAGGGAATAGGGTGCCATTTGGGATGCAGACCAGGGGCTGTTGATTTGCACCCTCAGCCTGGTACATTAGAGAGTAAACTGCTCAACATGTACTAGCCAAACAAACAGAGGCCACAGCTTCTCCCCTATATCCTCCACACACTGGGTGTGTGATGAGGGGGTTGTTGTTGATGGTTCGAAATCAAACGCAAGTTTCTCTTCCTGTTTAATGGCTGCAACTGAAATGGCAAGTCTGGAAATGTAGGTTAATGTCGTGTTTTGAGTTATAAAAGTCAAGAGCAACCAGAGAGATACAGGAGGAAAGAGTGGGTGACAATAAATGTCTGATATCAGGAAAATTACAAGAATATTGTTTTTGGTATATTGTGCAGAGAGTACCCTATGTCACTAATGGTTGCAATATTTTTGTTTGAGATAGATGTAGCCAAATGAAGGTTGACGTTCATTGTCATGAATCTTGCCCTGTAGGCAGAACTGAGCGATTTCCGCTAGATGGGCCAGCTGCAAAGTCAAAATTGTCTATATCATAAAAATGAATGTCTTAATTTAAGGTTAGGGTTAGCAGTGTGGTTAAGGTTAGGGTTAAGGTTATGTTTAAAATCAGATATTTTTTTGGTATTTATTAGGATCCCCATTAGCCGCTGCAAAAGCATCAGCTACTCTTCCTGGGGTCCACATGAAACATGACATAATACATAGTACAGAACATTATTAATCAAGGACTGAAATACATCAATTTAAAACATCACACATAGCCTACATATCAGTACATACACACTATATCTAGGTCTAATACATAGTACAGTGCAAATTACAATACAATATACAGTGCATTCGGAAAGTGTTCAGACCCCTTGACTTTTTCCACATTTTGTTACGTTACAGCCTTATTCTAAAATGTATTAAATTTTTGTTTTTCACTCATCAATCTACACACAATACCCCATAATGCCAAAGCAAAAACATGTTTTTATAAATTTTTGCAAAAAAAAAAAAAAAAAAAAGGAAATACTTTTACATAAGTATTCCGACCCTTTACTCAGTACTTTGTTGAAGCACCTTTGGCAGCGATTACAGCCTCGAGTCTTCTTGGGTATGACACTACAAGCTTGGCACACCTGTATTTGGAGAGTTTCTCCCATTCTTCCCTGCAGATCAAGTTCTGTCAATTTGGATGGGGAGTGTTGCTGCACAGCTATTTTCAGGTCTCTCCAGAGATGTTCGAACGGGTTCAAGTCCGGGCTCTGGCTGGGCCACTCAAGGACATTCAGAGACTTGTCCCGAAGCCACTCCTGCATTGTCTTGGCTGTGTGCTTAGGGTCGTTGTCCTGTTGGAAGGTGAACCTTTCTCCCAGTCTGAGGTCCTGAGCGCTCTGGAGCAGATTTTCATCAAGGATCTCTCTGTACTTTCCTCCGTTCATCTTTCCCTCGATCCTGACTAGTCTCCCAGTCCCTGCTGCTGAAAAACATCCCCACAGCATGATGCTGCCACCACCATGCTTCACCGTAGGGATGGTGCCAGGTTTCCTCCAGACGAGACGCTTGGCATTCACGGGAAAGAGTTCAATCTTGGTTTCATCAAACCAGAGAATCTTTAGGTGGCTTTTGGCAAACTCCAAGCGGGCTATCATGTGCCTTTTACTGAGGAGTGGCTTCAATCTGGCCACTCTAGATTGAAGCCTGTCTCGGAGCTCTAGGGACAATTCCTTTGACCTCATGGCTTGGGTTTTTGCTCTGACAGTCAACTGTGGGACCTTATATAGACAGGTGTGTGCCTTTCCAAATCATGTCCAATCAATTGAATTTACCACAGGTGGATTCCAATCAAGTTGTCGAAACATCTCAAAGATGATAAATGAAAACAGGATGCACCTGAGCTCAATTTCGAGTCTCATAGCAAAGAGTCTGAATACTTATGTAAATAAGGTATTTCTGGGGGGTTTTATTTATACATTTGCAAAAACTTCTAAAAACCTGTTTTTGCTTTGTCATTATGGGGTATTGTGTGTAGATTGCTGAGGATGATAAAAAATTTGTGAATAAGGCTGCAACTAAAAAATGTGGAAAAAATCAGACTTTCCGAAGGCACTGTATATAAAATGGCTGTGTCACTTCACAGTTCCCTTTGTGCAGTAAGGTGTTCTTTTATCTGTTTTTTGAAACTGGTTTTATTGCTAGCTTGAGTTACCTGGGGTGGCAGAGAGTTCCATATAGTCATGGCTCTATTTAATACTGTGTGTTTCCCAGCCTCTGTTCTGGACCTGGGGACTGTGAAGAGACCTCTGGTTGCATGACTTGTGTTGTACAGATCGGTGTTTCGAACTGTGTGCCAACTGCTTGAACAGACAGTTCAGTACCTTCAACACATCAATACCTTGCACAAAGACCAATAGTGATGCAGTCAATCTCTCCTCAACTTTGAGCCAGGAGAGACTGACATGCATGTTACTGACACTTTCCCTCTGTGTACATCTAAGTGCGATACATGCTGCTCTGTTCTGGAACAACTGAAATGTACCTTTGTCCTTCTTTGCCGCAAATGACCACACATGTGGGCAATAGTCCAGGTGCGACAAAACTATGACTTTGTATGACTTTGTGGCTGTGCCAGCTAGTGACCACTCTGCAGAGCTGCCTCCAGGGCAAAATGTATGACAATAAATGCCAACTTGCGTAGGCAAACAGTGATGTTGCACAGTCAACTCTTTGAAAACGAAGGGATATTGATGTCTTGAAATGCTTTCTCTCTCTATCGCCAGATGCAAACCCAATCATCAAGGAGAGCTATGCTAAGCAACTTCTGCGGACCAAGCGGCAGAAGCCCGGCCACCCCGATGAGCCAATGAGGGTAAGGTTCAAAGTGCAAAGGGCACAATTATAAACCTGCAGCGGTGTGCTCATTCTTATAAGAATCCATAAAAAATTGTTCACTTAACGGTTACCCTGTAATTTCTTCTGTTTTGATATGATAATGAGAGCCGCTTATGGCTTGATAAATGAACAGCACTTTAGATGATATGTAGTCATACAATGAAACTGCTTGTCAACTATTTTTTTCCCAGGTCCGTTTCATTCCAAAAAAAGAAAAAAGACCCCATTCATGGTTCTCTCACATTCCCCCCCCCCCCTCTTGTGACTCTTGCCTCTTTGACTCTTGCCCCCCTCTCTCTCTCTCTCTCTCTCTCTCCCTCTCTCTCTCTCTCTCTCTCTCTCTCTCTCTCTCCCTGTACAGGAGCACTTGCTCCACATGCAGGTTCTGGATCAGAGGGCCCAGGAGACCAACCTGGAACACTGGCTGAACCCCCACTGCTACCCCCGCTGTGACAGGAACTATGGACACCCTGTCTAAACCCCAGTGACCCCGCCTTGACTCCTCACAGCCCAGGTCCCTGTCTGTCCGACACAACCATAAAACATGCCTGATTGGGTCCCCTGGGTCATGTTCAGTAGGGAACAGGGTAGCAAAATGCTGTGTAACAAAAAAGTACCAGAAAGTACATATTTTCACTCCATTTCGGACACTATTCAGTTTCGTGCCTATTGAACACAATGTACAGTACCCATAATTAGCCTATAGGATGAAGTTGCCTTTTGATGCTGATCAGTTTTGTATTTCCCTCCTGATTGGTTATAGTTAGAATTGGGGTAGGGTAAACTGATCCTAGATCTTTCTTTTTGTCTACAGGTGAACAAATGTTTCTGTGTGGTGGAAGGCGTTGACGGCAAGAATAATGTTGACGACTGTGATGACGACAATGAAAATGATGACTATGATAATGATATGAGGGTGAAGCAAGGAGTGTAACTCTATCACATGTATTTCATGATGAAGCCTCAGCAGGGAACATTAGTGGCCATCAGTAGAGACCAGCCATAAGTGCATGTTCTGTTTATTTCAGCAACATTAGCCTATAGGAAACGTTAAATTATGTTAACATCATAGAGGATACTTGATCAGTTTATATGTAGATATAGTTATGAAAAATGATACATTGTATTATGTAAAACAATGTTTAAAAAACAATAATTGAATAAATAATCTAATACAATAAAAAGAATGATGGAAATATGGTGTGTTTTTTTTCTTCCGTTTTGAAATTGGACTCCTGAATAAAATATCACTACTAAAGGAAATTGAACAGGCTTCGTTCAGACTTCTTTAGAGAAAATAAAAGCTTTAACTACTAAGAAAGAGAAAACTACTAAGAAAGAGAAACTGCGAAGCGGCAGGTAGCTTAGTGGTTAAGAGCATTGTGCCAGTAACCGAAAGGTCGCTGGTTCTAATCCCCGAGCCGACTAGGTGAAAAATCTGTCGATGTGCCCTTGAGCAAGGCACTTAACCCTAATTGCTCCTGTAAATCGCTCTGGATAAGAGTGTGTGCTAAATGACTGAAATGTAAATGTGTCATAGGCGGTCATGTGAGATTGACCCCGCCGCTGACCCGGGGTTAAGCGTGTTGCGGTCGGCCATGACCCGGGGTTACTATTGAAGTTTTGGGAATTTAACACTTTATCGCAGCTAAACTGAATGGCCGGGAGCACTAGGCTAAACGCCTACGCAGTTCTGGACATGTGAAGGGAGTAAATATATGCAGACAAGAAAAACAGTTATTCTCCGAAGTGAACGTTATGCAATTTATTTTTAACATTGCGTAATATATAATTGAGCTGATAACATATATGGCCGTATGCGACTGAACCGGCACACATTTTACATGCAATTTAAGAAATGTGTTATTGATTTTGGGCTGCTTGGATGATTGATTGCATTTGGTCAAATTTGTTGGAAACTTTTATTGTATTATATTATATCCCCATGATTCAATGAAACATCTAACACCCAACGTATGTTTCATCTGAAGAAATTGCATTGTAGCCTATCTGTTCAGATTGTTCAATTATTATCTGCATGTGGCATGCGACCATAATCGAATGATTCTGCAAAACGAATGCACCGATAGGCCTACAAATAGGCAACTGAACCAACCAAGTCAATACACCAGAGTAAGCACGCAACAATCATGCAAATTGATCATTAGAAATGAAGCCATAGACTATACAAATATGACCAGAGTCTTTTGTCTGGCAGATGCATTCCTGTCAGACATAAGTGTAACAGCAGGTTATAACACATTATATATTTCGTAGGCAATCTATTATAGCTCTGATGATCTATTTGGTAACATAGGTCTACCTACCTTGTGACCCCACATAACCAGCGTGTCAATTCCGCAGATACCGATGAGCGCTGGATTTTATTGGATTATGATAAATTCAAGATTTTAGAAAAAGTTAAGGCCAATATCATTTTGCAATAGTACAATTAAATTATTCCTGTAGGCCCAATGTCAACCACTTAAAATAATTATAGGCTACGGTTTGTTCTGTGAAGAGCTTGCAGGAAGACCTCTGAGAACAGCACAATAACATTTAAATACAATTCTATAAAAAAAACGGTCTCATTAAAATGCTTTACCAGCCGTCTCAGTCCCTACTAGCTTATTCTTTTAGCAATCTTTGTCATTTTAATATAAATAAGACAGTGAAATTAGTATTGTACTTTTAATGAACGCAGATAGGCCAATAGATTGGAGTTGCTTTCTGATGTGTTTTGAAACAATCTAAATCATTACAAAATATATAAACCAAGGTCCCCTCTTTCTAGGCCTTTGTGGACCATTGCCAAAACGCACTCATCGGCTCTCAATGAAAAATAGGAAAACGGTAGAAATACTATTTCTCTACTATAATTGACACTACCCTATATTGCTAAGAAAATGTCATTACGAACCACGGCAAAGAAGAGGTAAGCCTATTCCTGCGGTTGGCCTATAAGTCAGAAATATGGTAAACATTATTCTTTACACTATTTGAAATGAGGACAACAGGAAACATGCAAACTAAAGCAGCTTCCTAAGTCAAAAAATCCCATGTCAGATGTCACCAAAATATTTCTGAAACCTGTAATTGTATTAAGCATTGTATAAAGCACATTTGCAATTATCAGTCCTTTTTACAGCCAAGGCAAACCTGGAATCTTAAAATCAGTTGGAAGAAATCATCACAACCAGAAACAGAGAAAATTGCAACAAGTTTACTGGAAAGCATCTCAAAAGCAAACTGTGACATCAGGTTGTGATCATCCTGTTACATCGAAAGCATTTCATTTATATGTCCAACACAGATGTCAACGTAAAGACCTTATGTATAATATTTCAATATAGTCCTCGACAAAGACAGCGTCATAAACATCAAGCACCTTTCCCATTTTTATTAACAGCTTATCAAATCTGGAAGCAAGACCTACATCTGCACAACTACTGGCCTATAGCATTGTAACAGTTATATAAACTCTTATAGAGGACATGTATGTCAACAAGACATAGATTTGATTCACTTTTTATTAATCCTTCCAAAAAGTGCTTGATAAACCTTTGAAATGAATACACCTCAAATTGAAATGAATACACCTCAAATTGAAATGAATACACCTCAAATTGAAATGAATACACCTCAAATTGAAATGAATACACCTCAAATTGAAATGGCATGACCAGGAACAAATAGTTGGCCTAGGATTTCTCCATATTGATTTCTCATTGACACGTGAAATCAAATTACAAATGCGCCCACATTATACCTCTAACATTTAAATGGTACTAGCTTGACATAAATATAGCCTGTCTGACAAAGTATATTGTTAGTTTAAAAGCGGATTGTTGAAAACTAAAAGCTATTTGGAAAGAAGTAAATGCTGTACACAAGGCATGCAACTCTTTCAAATAGCCTATGGGTGGTGAATAACTTCAATGGACTTCCTTTAATTTGGTCATTACATTTAATAGACTTCCGACTATATTATATATACATCTGCACATACAATCCTGTAATTTGCTTTTATACATTACATAAAAACTCTGAATGATAAATGACACTATAAAGTATGGACTTTTCCAAATAATTTGATACAGGATTGACAGAGAGAGACAGAGCTGAAGAGAATTGAAATGAGAGGAAATCATCTTTTATCTTTGAAGAATCCTTGATCTGTGCTATTCTCACGGATAGTCACTGTCAAAAGGTTTGTGGTCACATCAGTCACCAGAACCTTCTCCACGTTGTTCAAGCAAGGCTTCCAAGTCACCTCGTCCATTTGGCCCAGGAGCCGGGACACAGGGATTTTGGCGATGAGGGAAGGCTTCCCCCTCTGTGGAAGCTCTTCGCTGGGTTGATGCACGTTCTTTTTGGATAGGTGCTTTAGGTGTGTAGGGGATAAGTAATTTGAGGGGTACTCTTTAGTCCTGCAGGCCTGGGAGTCAGAGCCTATTCTGTGTGAGTGCAACAAGCCCCTGTCTGGGCTGTAGTGCTGCTGTGTGCTCCCGCTAGGTACGGGCCTCATCTGCTTGTGGGGATAACCACCCAGCTCCTCCTGGTGCCTGTGGGCTAGTTTAATCACCCTCATCTCAGACCCCCTCTCTTCACCACCGGACAGGCCCAGCTTGGCCAGTTTGAGTGGGCCGTATGTTGCCTGCTCCTCTGCCCTCCTCTTGGGAGGCTCTGGGGCGGCGGGAGGAGCGTTGAAGGGATTGTCCTTAAATCGCAGCTTGGGTTTGGGCCCTCTCTTCTTGGGGACAATCACAAAGCCATCGGGGCCTGGGGGCCTCTGGAGGACTGGTGGACGGTGCTCTCGGACCGGTTCTGAGGGCCTGACCCGCACACTCTCGCCCCTGTTGACAGTGCTGGGTGGGAAGATGGTGGGGACCACGGCCCTCAGCCCCTCTCGGGCTCTGGGGGAGATGACAGGCTCTGGTGTCGGGTAGGTGACGCGTATCCCGCGGACCGCTTCGCTCCTGAACTCGTACGATTTAGCTTTAGCTTCAGCCTAAACGGGGAAGGAAACCAGAGAAGAACCGCTTTTGAACTTATCAACAACAAAGACGGAACATTGAAAGTAGTCTATTGACGATGGCAATATGGGCAATGTTTTTCCACCTCTCCAATTTCAGTGGGTATAATGTTCTCTTTTATAAAGACGGATTTAAAATGTCAGTTGAGGATACTCTTTATTTGTCATTACATTTATATAATAAGAGTATGCCAGCAGCTTTATAATGGCTTAATCAATAATATGCACTTGCAATTAGCAAAACAATGTTATAACAAGGAGTAAAATTGTAACAATACATGTACAAAATGATAAAGGAAGACAGTAGACAAAATCTTCACTTGGCATAATATCCCCTGAAGAATTTACAGGCTACACCAGTTCGTTAGCATTTTTACATTTTCACAATAGTTACTTGTTATATATGTATTTTCAGCTCAGTTTGAAAACAGCTATTTACAGGCCTTGGAGAGAACCTGCATTCTAAATAAGCTGCTGGTATGTTAAGCAATTTTCATGGTCAGCTCTCCTGAAAAGACTGGTGCATTCGTTTGATGACGTCTTCAGATTTTAAGATTTCATTATAAAACCAGTCTCATGCAAACTTTTGATATTAGCTATAACGATTGCTTTACTGATGATTACACGTCAAAACGTCATAACTTCTAACCCTGCCGAATGATCGATGCACGCCAGAATAGATTAACCCTCGCTTTTATAAGCACATTTTATGTCACACGTGTAGGCCTACATTGAGTTCATTTCGAATTGTAAACAATTAACCTGGCATGTGTATTGATCAATTTGGCTACCTGCCAATCCAACCAATTTACCATGATTCGGTTCAATTCGTTAATTTTTTTGTACTATTTGCGGTCCATTAGCACTAGCCTAACTAACTAATTTCCCTAAATACACATTCACACCTCCACAAATACACATCCAGCACGAAATATTATTTTGCCTTAATACCGGTACACAAAAGGTGATTCTCATGGGAAAACTTGACATGTGGATCCTTCAAACTTGCATATTTACGTGTCAGTGCAACAACAGCTATATATTAACCAGATGAAGACCCTGTGGATACATAGTGGGTGGAGACTGTGGTATGTTTACATGCCACATGCTAGAAATCGTGTCCAACCATGCAGCCCAAAATTCAGTAGATTCCACAGTATCATTGCGTGTTGGATGGATTATTTTCAACAATGCATGCATATCAACATAGCTACCTTAACCAGGAATGTCTTCGGTTTCGGTCCTCTCTTTTTGGGCCCAAAGAGTTCCCTTTCGCGCTCCCTGAAACAGCAAGACACCCATTTTGAGTATCAAGAGAGCGAAGTGCAATAGGCGACTTGCCTGACGGATGCATTTTATTTTGCTGTGCTGCTAACATTGCATGCAATGAATGTACAACATGAACAGGCCATATCCATACAATTTACCTCTCTTCGAAAGCGACGAAGAGGCGGGAGTCCAAGATATTTTCCTCCGGTTCCCAAGTGCTAAATCTATGGAGAAAAATACAATTGACAGGGGTTCATTTTCCACCACATTGGTAAAGCAAGCATAGATACGGGCTATCGTTAGCTAGCTTGCTAACACTGCCAGCGTGCTGCGCTGACTTTGTCACTAGCAGATGCCACCTAGCTAGCAAGCAAGCGAACGACAGTTAGCAGCCAGCAACATCCATTTAGAAGCAAGGTTCGCTAGCATTGAATTCAACGCAACTTACTTCGGTGACCAGCCCTTCCATTTCACAAGGTATTCCATTCGACCCTGCATGTCATCAGAAATAGAAAAAGAACGCTTCGTTAGGGAACAGCAGTGGCGCGTGAAAATAGATTATGCATGTTAGGAAAATGTGTTTCACATACTCTCCTTATTCGCCGTTTGATGATAGATTCGGCAGCGAAAACCCGTTCCCCAACTGCAGACAGCTCCATGTTTACTTCAATCCAGCTACCGTTAGCTAAAGCTTGGTGGTGAACGCTAGATATTTTTTTCTCCTGTCTCGCGGAGTGAATTCCAGACAGCCCATAATACTCCTGCACAGAAAAGACGTCATCAAAAAAATTCATGTGTTGCCTAGGAACCGCATTCGGTGGAACCATTTAGAGAAAGCCCATTGGTTTAGCCGTTGCTATGTGCCCGCGGTTGCTAAGTGAGTAGGCGGAGCGTCCACTTATGAAAATTCTTGAGGGGAAAATGGTGGCTTTAGCGCGGTGGATCAATTACTCGGATTATTCGGGGATCTTTAAAAACATATGTCGCCAGATATTAAACGCAGAACATGTGCAGAATGAAAATAAATGAACAATGGGAGCAACGTTCCTCAAATGTAATACGCTAAAGAGGTGAAGGAATGCAGATTGGACGTGTGCACATTTCAGGTATCAGCTGAACTGTCACACAAGATTTCAGTTTAAAGTGCTCCTAATCAATAGCCTACAGTCATGGTAAGGTAAATTGTATGAGGAGACTAGGAGACAATATAGGCCTAAGGGAAATGTCCTATGTCTAAATAGAACATAGGCTATAGATCACATATATGTGCAATAGTTTATCCTCATTTCCAGTTCTATTGATCCCTACAAGCAGCGTCATGGGTGTTTTTGTTTTTTCTTTCTTTCTCTCGCTATAAATGCTGTCAATTATAGTCTCCATTCAGTAGGCTATTCGTTTCAACCTAAGCTACAGTTTCCATACACCTTTGACTCCATTCAACTAACACAATCGAAGATGTCTAAATGTGGGGATCAGAGAACACATTGCACCTTTAGCCTAGTCATAAGTCTTTACCTAATTTATAGCCGTTAAAGTGTTTGAGTAGGCTATTGCCATTAAACTGTTAGGTAGGACCTCAAACAAAATGAATTAACTGAACATAAACTTTAGACTAATCGGGAAAATAATGTAATTATAGCCTACCAAAAAGTTGAGCGAAACAGAAATTGGCCTATTGTTTGAGTTAGGGTATGGAAGTAGGCCTATGTAGCCTAATTAATTGAGTAGGGCTAGGCTTCATATGGAAAAACAAAAGCCTTAGAATAGAGCTTGTATGCCTATGCATGGGCCTAATTTAGGCAAAATATTTTAAACTCACAACATCAAGTGATCATAACACAACCACTCAACAAGGGATATATTTAGGTCTATAATTTCCACGAATCCGTCACTTACAATTAAGCCTAAAATCACGTCCGTTGCGGTCTCTAATCATTCAGTCATGGAAAATGTGGTCGCTGACTTGAAATAGGTGCTTTAAAGAATTAGCTTACTTTCACTACAATCTGCTCAAATAATTATACACATGTGTAATAAATCACGCCATCCTGTTGTTTACACAGCATAAATCAATCAGCTAGGCCTACTTCGTTTATCCACGTTACAGCAACAACTGAAGGGGTATGTGGAATATATAGGCCATATGTAAAAGAAAGACAGGTTTGTCAGACCAAAATAGATAAAATAATAATAATAATATCCTTGTATTTATCATTATTATTAATTGGATAGGCCTACATATTTATTTTCATTGTTTATTTATTGTATTATTATTATTAATAATAATATTATTATTATAATAATTATAATATTATTATTATTGTTATTATCTTTATTATCATTATTATGTCAATATTATTTCTCAAAATTAAAATTAATTTGGCATTATAGCACAGATTCAAATGAACACCATCCAGACAAAGACGTGTCAGATCGGAAAAGGTCAATTTCAATAATGTCACGCGTGTTGGACTATTGTCAAACTTTCCATTAATTTGTCTAAATATTAATTTGCACTGCATTCCAACTAAAGGTTAAACTCACAACACCAATCGATTGGCGGCAGGTAGCCAAGGTTAGACGCGAGCCAGCAACCTGAGGGTTGCTAGTTAGAATCCCGGGTCTGGCGAGAAGTGAGCTGGCAACCGGAGGGTTGCTGTTAGGCCTATCAAATCCTGGATTCCATTGCCTGCCGTTGTGCCCTTGAGCAAGGCACTTAACCCCCCACAACAACAGCTCCCCGGGCGCCCAGTGTGGCAGCCCCCCGCACCTCTCCAAAAAACCTGTAGGCCTATATGTAGGGGTTGGGTTAAAAGCGGTTGGACCTTGTGTTGGACCTTGTGTCGGACCTTGTGTTGGACCTTGTGTTGGACTTGTGTTGGACCTTGTGTTAGACCTTGTGTGCAATTGACCAATAAAGTGATCTCCTTAATCTGACAGCTATTTGGTTGATCACACATCTACAGATCATTCGCAAATATCTTTAATTGAGGACTAACAATAACATATCCATATCCTCTTGAAACTTCTCATTAATTCAGACCTCATCTCCAAGTTCCCTTAAAGAAAACAGACTCCAAAAGTTCAGATTGATTTTCAAACAAGATTATAGGCCTACATTATGAAGTAAATTACACGAACAAAAAGGCATTCATTTAACACAAACATCCTTCCATTTAAGAATATTGGCTTATATGAATGATGATTTCCTAATTAGGTTGATCTATGCCTATTCATATAAATAAAACAATTTTAGGCCTATTTCAGATAGGCTAATCAATCGGATAATATTGCTGTTAAGGTCAACACATGAGTTGAGATGGACGCACAACCATTTGACAAAAAGTATATTGATTAAAATATATCTCAGTTGTCGGCCTTTATTAGGGTCAATGTTTATTTGCACATGTGAGGAGCGACAACATTTTCTACAACTTTGTTATTGGCATTGTCTCATTTCAATACGTTTGCATTGTCAAAGCATCACGGAAAGCCTTAATCTTATATTTCTAGACTATAGGCTTTTTCTCTCTGGGATCATTTGGCCCTCGTGAACAACTAGTTTAGGATAAAACTCGTATAGGCCTAAAATATAACATTGTTTCCCTGGAAGACCCAGCCAGAATCTATTTCAAATAATCTGATCCTGACAAATAAACAATACTAAAACACCCTTTTTCGATTGATCGACAGGAATGGAGAGAAGAGGGAAGGCCTACGTATAATTGAACAACCTAACTGAGATAGCCTAATGGTTGTTTCAGTGTAGCATGCATGTCCATTTTAATTAATAAACGTCAGGCTCAGTGGACCACCCTAAAGCTTAGAGACATGCAGGTCCATACAGCCTGTAACACAAAGCAAATCTCAAATGCTGACTGCATGCCTAAACCACGAAACAGACTCGTCATTGCTTAATTAGACGCCTATAGGTCAATCTTGAGCCATTGGAAATGACAATAGGCAAATGGCAATATTGCGCTGACAGGCTGCAATGGGTAGGCTGCAATGGATATGGTTGAAACAAAGGACCCCCTCTTTGACAGTCAATGTATGTTGTTCGCAACGCCAGAGTTGTGGGTTCGTTTCCCACGGGGGACCAGTATGAAAAAAAATGTATGCACTCACTAACTGTAAGTCGCTCTGGATAAGAGCGTCTGCTAAATGACTAAAATGTAAATGTAAATTGCATTGTTTGTTATGAAATCAATTAGGCCCACGATGGCCCCCATACAAACACATCAACATCTAGTCAATTACAAGCAATTTCCTAATGTAAATGCTCTCAAAATCCCTGTTGAGATAGAAGCAGTACAGGGCAGACATGCAGAAAATAGTCTAAATAGGCTATTGAACCATCCCTCATGTTATTATTCATCATATGCATTAAAATTAGGTTTTCATTTGGTCTCTTGTATTTTTCCACAAGCAAACATGATGCCAGTAATGAATTTTGTGCATCGCTGCACTGGAGGAAGACGGGCTGCGGGACTCCTTTTATGGGGTAAGCGTTGGTCTCGGCGTGACTGCAGTACAGCAGTGGTTGCAGCCATACATGGGTGCATGGTCGACCTGTTAGAAGATTATTGGTTCGCTCGTATCTGGGCAACCGCCATTACCCTGTGCTCAGCAAAGCAAAAAACGAACATCATGCAAAGGCAAGGACATCACGCGCAAGAGGAAGAACGCGTCTTAATTTATCCTCTCCCATGCAGGGCACGCGAACACATAATTGCCACAAGTGCGCACTTACGCTCTCTCTCTCTCGCTCTCTCTCTCGCTCTCTCTCTCGCTCTCTCTCTCTCTCTCTCTCTCTCTCTCTCTCTCTCTCTCTCTGTCTCTCTCTGTCTCTCTCTCTCTCACACACACGCACACAGTTATCATGCATTGCAAGTCCTCTGCGCTTATTAACTATTTTTGTGAGGTTTGCATAACAACACAACTTCTTGGGGCTAGTTGTCTAAAAGCTTGGCCAACATCTGTCACAGTTTGCATCGGACATAATTAAAATGTCACCTTTATTTTCGTCCAGTTAGTCATTAAAGGACGTCACATCTATAACCAAAACCGTCATGGTATTTTCATTAGGCCTATAACCGAGATCATATTGCCATGCACACAATTGTGCCAACACAAAAGTTTACTCAAGGTTACACTTCTTGCTGATAAGGAGGAGGGATGTGGAATGTGTGCGCAGAGGGAGAGAAAGAGGCATAGGCAACTTCTTTTTGTTTCGATAGAGCTTAATTGTATAAATTATAGGGCCAGCCAAGGTATCTGTGAAAATAAACGATTGTACAAAATGCCACCGAGTTTCATTTGATTTACAAACTAATTAAATCCACAAGACCCAAATCGTTACCAAATATAGACTAGCCTATTCATAATGTAAATAATTTCCAAACAAAATTTAGAACAATATAATTCATATACTACATTGAAAATGTATGCACTCACTTAACTGTTAAGTCGCTCTGGATAAGAGCGTCTGCTAAATGACTAAAATGTAAATATAGGATCTATTCACAGAGAAAGGAATGAAGTAACATTGGTTGCAAAAAACAAGTGCTCTCGCGGATAGGGGTGTTGAATTAGAACACTATTATAAAATATGTTGCCACATAGCCAACACTTGACAAAATGGGTTGGGTTTGTTCCGTTGGCAGGCTGGTAACATTTTTAACTTTATAATCTCCAGACAGTTAGGCTACAGATATTAACTTCATAACATTAAGATATC